AGAGGAGGCCGGGCGCGAGACTTTCATTGGTCGGACCCTTACAATAATGCCCGCCTGTGTCGGTCACAGACCCGCGGTGCCTAGCAGGGTGTCCTGTGTCGACAGGGGAGCCCGAGGCGGTCAGGGAAACCTGTGTTAAACCTGTGTGGAAACTTGTGTTGTCAATTGCCCTGTGTCAGTCATGGTCCCCAGTCACTAACGACGGGCCCTCCATCCCAATTCCAGCTATGGGCCCGTTAAGCTGCCCGCCAGTCTTTGTGCCAATTTTTGGACCACCTGAGGCAATAACGGGTCTTGCCGCGACATTGAGGTTTCCTGCGTCGATTCATGGTTGACTGCGCGGGTCAGAAGGCCTCCGCGTCAGAGATAAAGGCCAATGCGATATAATGTATACCTTTAAGGGCCTCCGGATCGACCAGGGGACCTCGCCCCCGTGTCGCCAGAATGACGTCCGGAAGGCACTCCGTGCTGGGACGGCATGGACGTTCAATAGTTCACCGGGAACAATAAGGTGCATCCTAGTGTTCTACTTATGGTGCCCTAGACCCTAGAATGAAGTCCTGCGAACCAGCGGTAAGTCAGTCATTGTCTTGCGACCAACTCGGCCACAAGACCAGCAAATTAAAGCAGTAGGTTACGCTGCTACACGGACGCCACGGACGCCGGAGACGTAGTAGGATGACTGCCTGAAGTAAATGCATGCATTTACTTAATACCTTTATCACCAGCTAACACACATACGCCACACAAAGCGCATACACAAATAACGGCGCCCAAGCCGTCGTAAGATGATGGCCGGCACACGACAAGGCACAGAACCATCAGACACGCTTACCGTGGTCCATACGCCCGTGCGGCGGACTGGCGGCGAGCGGCGAGCTGGATGCCGGCGGCGGCGGCGGCGGCGGCTCGTGCGCACCTTAGTGTCCAGCTTCTTCTTCTGTTCCGGAGCCCGCAGTTTTTCTCTCCCCGCCATTTTCGTCTTCTTCTCCTCAGTCGTCTACACAGCCGCCGCTGGTGGCTGTGAAACCGTCTTCTTGCGGATAGCGTCGGCCGCCGACAGCTGGATACGACTTTGGTGGAGGCGCCAAGCCCAGGCCTCTTCGTTTTCTTGCCAGCTTCCCACATTCTTGAGGAGACTTTCGTGAAGTGGCTGGCCCTGGCGTCAATGTTATTTCGATTGGTCTTCTCGGCCAGAAATGAAAATAAGGCTTCCGGATGGAGACTGGACAACGGTGGGGTGGGTGTAGATGCGCGGGGGCGGACAACCGCAGAGCTTTAGCCTGCGCCGGCATTCAATAGCCTCAACCGATGCCGCGCCATACCACGTAACCGGACCATGCCCACGAGTGGCGCGCGGTAGCCTGACTTTAACACCCCCCGGCTGACAGGTTGGTTACACTCGCTGGGGCGGGGGTTAATTTGACCCTCTGAGGTCTCAGGAACTAATACAGTCAGATGCACCAAATTCACAGGCTGTGTTGAACTGTACGTGAACTCACTAGGCCAAAATTTGAGGTTCCTAAGTCACAGTCGTCGGGTCAAATAGGGTCGAACAAGGTCAGATTCAAGTTGGTCTCCCAAGCGCCCTATAACAAGGAGGCCTGGCCTAAGCAAAAGACCACATGCTCATTTGGAGTCAGTGGCCTAGATTGACCTTTCGAAGGTCACGCTGACTGAAATCAAACCAGACTTCTTCGATCTTTACATTTGAATCAGCGACAAAGATTACGCTAGCAGTTTGCTAAAAAATAACAAAATACTGACCTGAGTCATTTTAGATCAGTGACCCATGCTGACCATAAGGCACATCATGGAAGATTTGTAGTGTGGTTCCTGTTATCAAAAATTCCAAATGAGCACCAGAAACTGTCCCGCACAGCAAGCCCTAGAAAAGGAAAGCAGGCTGGTTTGACATTGGTCTGACCATACCTGATCACAGGTAAATGGAATTTCTTCATTCAATTGTCGTGTTGCCTAAGAAAGCATCTCCAGCATGTATAGCTTTGTCTAACACTCCGTTGTTGCATCAATTTGGAAGATCCCCTACAAACTGACTTCGCTGAATCCATCACGTGCCATCCATCGGCCGGTGCGGCCCACCCCGGCCGCAGTCGGTCACCAGGCCGTCGGCCGTGCACCGCTCGGCTCCCCCCCAGCCGCCGCCCGGCTCCGGTGCCGCCCCTCACAGAGCGTCAGTCACGTGCTGACAGCGGCATCTTGGCAGCGATCTTCCTCTTCTTGAATGGCGTCAGACATCGAGACAAGAAACATGAAACACTATGTCTCGATAGTGGTCTAGTGCAACTTCTGTTAACCACAAGGCGACCTGCTAGAACACTGCCAGTGTAATATACAGTGTTCCACATTTGTTCGAGTTTGAGGTAGCACGTTTGAAGGCCACGAAGTGCAATTCACAGCCGGGCCATTTTTTCACACCTTGTTTCTGAGCTGGACGCCCATGAACTTGTACTATTTCGTGCAGGATATTTCAAGGTCACACCGACACGCCTAACGTCACGGAGACAGCGTGGATTTGGCTCTTTCTTTGCTCACGATGAAAAAGCAAGACCATCGAGTGTCAGATCGGGGACATCAACGTCCTCACCGGCACACCGCCACGCCACCTTGAAGGCCTTGGCGGCGCTGCTACTTGCCAGCGGGCTGCCGCCCGTGGCCATCAAGACCTGTGGAAAGAGACACTTACAGTTGAACCACACTGGGGAGGGTGCAAAACGCACGTGGTTGACCCTGGCAACACTAATCGGTCCAGCGCCTGCCGAACAGCCTTTGTACATACCCGGTCGCTTCTGTGGTGTCTGGTGTGAGCAGCGCCGGCCGCTCCACTGATGTGAAGTGGAGCAGCCGCAGCCACAGCTCGCTGCTGACAGCCGCCTACAGCGTCGAGGTGGCCGATGTCCGGAATCTGTAATTCTTGATGAGGCCACGCTCTTGGCCATCGAGGTCGACAGTCTACAGACGCACATGGTGTCTCGTTCAAATCATCACTCCGACAACAGACACGACAGACAGCAGAACGACCGACGCAAAACGAATGGCGCGCAACAGTGAGTCAGACGTCGGCCAGCCAGCCTACTCACCCTGTCCTCGGGCACCGAAGAGGCGGCGATGCCAGTGACGTGACTGGGCCGGCCGGCGCACCGCACCATCAGGAGCGTCATGAGGTCATCGCGCGCTTGGCGGGCCTCGGCCGGCAGTGGCGGGAACTCGCCGACCAGCGGGCACTCCGTCAGAGTGGTGACGTACTCGAACTGTCGGCCAAAAGACAGCCGATTAAACACAAGACTGACACGATGTCATCCAGCCACGACCACGCCAGCACAATGCGCACCGAACAATGACAGCAGCTGGGCTAAGACGGGACACGGACGGTACTGACACATATATCACGAGACAAGCGCCATACATGAACATTACTCCCAACCACAGAGCGGCGGCCAATATAACACGCTCAGGAAGCACTGCTGGATCTCTAAGCCGACGACGCGTGCCGCCTGGGCTTCATGGTGACGGCGTCGCTCCCAATCGTCACGCTTCATGGAGCGCTGCCAGGCTGCCAGCCGCTCCAGCATGGCCTGTGAATTGCCAGGCATTAGCGAACGGCGACGGAGGCGCGTAGGACTGCACAGTCGGTACGCCAGCTGTTGATGGCACTTACCGGCATGCGCGGCAGCCACGCCAGGAGGCCTGAGTTGTCACAGTCGAGTGTTACGTACGTGATCAACTGGGACAGGCAGCGGATGGCCGATTTCAATACCCCGGCTGTCATCATGTGCGCTCTGTGCTGTCTTTGCAGCCAGCCGTCGGGCCCCTCCATGGCCAGCTGGGGGCCGACGAGGGCCGCCATGATGTGAGACATCATTAGCTGCTCCGCACGGCGGCCTGGCAGCAGCTGTGGCAGCAGGAGACGGAGCTGCAAATGAGCCTGCATTAGGCACTGCAATTATATGACAGCTCGCCGCCAGCACAATTCTGGACCCCGGTGCATGGGACGGACATGGCGGACGAAAATAACGCAAGATGACACGCGAAACACGAGTGACAACAGGTGACAGTAAGTAAATGGAAGCAGACCGGCATCGGTGGCACTTGCCGCCCGCATGTGGCACTGCACCTTCTTCCGGTTGCAAAAGCCACCCCGGACCCCACGCAGGAATGTAACGAACTGGTCCGAGGTGGCCTCCAGTCCAACCAGCGGCTTTTCGGGCTTGCTCGATGACGTGGGGTCAGCTCGCTCCGCACTGCCGCACGCTTGTTGGAACTGTGGACGGACGGTTCACGATGCCACACCGAACACGCCGAAAAGCCGACAGCACGCGGTGTTGAGACAGTGAAACGCATGTCCAAACAATGACAGGAACAACGCCGCTGGTATCTACCTCCTGACTGCCTGCAGGGAAGTTTACCCGAATGTGTCGTGATATATTCACCACAACCGCCGGGCACTGGTGCCGCCCGTCGGTGGCACCGAGCGGGCAGCGCCAGCGGGCCTGGGTGCACTTGGGCGCTGGCGGAGGGTAATGGGCCACGGCGGCTCGCGGGCGTTTAGCCCGCTCTACCGCGCGTGTGGCAAGCTGAAACACAAACAGACTGCTGGAAAGATAAGGCCGACAGCACAGCTGTGGACATGCGTGACGCATCGACGGCAGAAACACGCACAAGCGAGTGAAGGCAAACAACAACCGCACAGCATGCAATCCGTCGCCTACCCGCGGGTGCACCATCGTGATGTGCCATTTCAGGATGGCTTACGTGGTGCCGCGGCACGGCAGTAGGCGGCACGGGTGCCTGTGGCGCTTCCCAGCGCCGCTGCGTGCAAGCCGGCCCTGCCGCGGCTTGCACGCTGCAACACAGAATGATCAGTTTGCTACGGCCCGAATAAGCACACGGATATGCCAGCTGCGGCAGAAGCACATTTACATCCAGTCTGCCGCCACATACAGAGAGGACAACTGGTGACGTACCGGGCCGGTCACCCTCTTCCGAGGCCTCCTTCTCCGCTGGCGCTGGTGATGTCGATGCCGACGAGAGGGACGAGGACGGCGCCCAGTCGGGGTCGGCGTCCGCCGCCGGTGGCGCCTGGCTGTCGGCCAGAGCTCCCTCTGTTGGCAGAATTAAGGGCTAAGTAGTCACGTACAAAAACGGGAAACAAACAATGTGGACATAGAATGCGTCACACTGTAGGTAAATTATCAGAACAGACAACCACAGTGTAATGAATGGAACGCTTCGTATTGGTGACACCTTTGCTAACAGTCTATTACATACACAAAATAGGAGATACCTACATCAAAGAACATGCATACACAATGACTATAAAAACTGGATGTCAAGTTCTACGATAAACGGCTAGGAAAATTACAACATGGATACACAATGACAATAACAACTGCATGTCAAGTTCTACGATGGACGGCTATAAAAATGACAACATGGATACACAATGAAAATAACAACTGCATGCCAAGTTCTACGATGGACGGCTAGGAAAATTTAAAGTAATACAGCCACTGAACACGCTTACCGTTCTCAATGGAAGAGTCGTCAAACACGGGGGCGACCAGGTGGACGGCGACGGCCGTTCGTCAGTAGCCGGATCTGTGGGCAAATAGGCACGCTTATGAAGCAACTAAATAAAAAGCACAGCAGCCAACAACGGACGATCAATAGCCCCTTTAGATGAAAACGTATCACATGTGCCATAAGTGTCGGCCATCGGATATCTTGGTAGAATGAAAGGCTGACTAGTCGCATACCGGAAAACGGAATAAACATCGAAAACATAGAGCAACTACTTTAAGGGCAATGACTATAACACATGAAAACATCGGCGCATGAAACAAACGGCTCCTTTTTAACAACTTTCCAATTGTCTAATGCACCCACAGCGTACAATACACATACCTCGATAAGCGTACACACAATAGTAAGTGAATGTACTGCTACCAGAGATGGTTAAAACATGGAAAGAAATAGTATCATCAGGCATGCTTACCGTACTCCATAGGCGAGTAGTCGTCGGGGAGACACAGGCTGGGCAGCGGTGGTCGTTCTTCGGCAGCCGGCTCTGCGGGAACATGGACAGGCTGAACAAACACGTCAATGCAGAACAAAACACCCAAACCAAGAACAAGCGATAACTACTTAACAGGAAAACATGACAAAATGCGACATCAGTGAGACACGCACGCACTCCAACGATAAACACCAAACACAAGCACCCTAAACGAGCGAGGATGAATGACGGGCTTAAATGAATGCCTTTGATGTTGACAACAACTCGGGCCAACACACACAGAAAGAGGTGCGCAAAAGCTGTCGTCGGAGAATAAGCGGCACGAAACAAGAGACATGGTTGTGATACACTTACCGCAGTCCATGGGCCCGGGAGGCGGGCTGAAGACGGAGACGAGCTGGGCGGTCACTGCGGCTCATTAAGGGTTAACGCCGCCTTCTTCTTCTTCTGGTGCTTCTGCTTCTTCTCCTTGCGTTGCTTCTTTTTCCTCTTCTCCAAGCCACTGTCGGCCGGGTCAGCACAGTGGCGTCGTCGCTCACAGTCCGCACGCTGCAGTGGCCGCTGCCAGGCTGCCAGCCGCTCCACCATGGCCTGGGAATTGCATGTCATAAGCGAGCGGTGACGGCGGTGCGACAGCCTGCACAGTCGGCACGCCAGCTGTGGAGACCACTTACCGGCATGCGCGGCAGCCACACCTGGAGGCCCAGGTTGTCGCTGCCGATGGTCACATAGGTAATCAACTGCGACAGGCACCGGATGGCAGATTTAAGCGTCCCGGCTGCCATGGCGTGAGCTCGTTGCTGCCTCTGGAGTCAGCCGTTGGCCTCCCCCATGGCCAGCCGGGGACCGGCGAGGGTTGTCATAATGTGAGGCATCATGATGTGCTCAGTCCTGCGGCCTTGCAGCAGCGCCGGCAGCAGGAGACGGATCTGCAAACAGAGGCTGCATTACGCACTGCAATTACACGACAGCCGCCCGCCAGCCTCATCTCGCTCTGGCGATGCAGCCATATCCGTACCCGAGCAGCTATACCTTAAACAGCGACTAGTTGCGGCGAAAAACAATTGAATGCTTTTTATGTCAGAATCACTTCGTATCTCTTAATAAACACGCGATATAAGAAACGCATACAGAACAGCGCTTATGAAATGTCAAGAGAACGGCCGTCACATGACAAGATAGAATCATCATACACCTGCCGCACTCCAGGAGTCCGTGCGGCGGGTTTGCAGCCAGAGGCGGGCTGGGCGGCGGCGGCAGTGGGTCGTCACTGCAAACGTTCTTCTCTCTCCTTTTCTCCTTCTTTAAGCACACGTTCTTCCCGTGCGGTCCGTCTGTGAGCAAATAAGCGTGCTCTTGAAACAGGCAGGTACCAAACACAGCGGCCAGCAGCGCACAACCAATAAGTACATTACTTGAACGCATGACATAACGGCACATCGGTCATACTTGCATGCAATTTACGTGTACACATCACAACACAGGCACCGCACACGATCGTGGTTAAATTACGGCCTTAAACAAATGCCTTTGAAGTTTGAATCACCTTGTAGCCAGCTAATGAACAAACGATACACAAAACTGTAGAAAAAGTGGGCATTGGCTATTGTATCAGATCGGTTGAATCACGGGTTTAATCGAATGTCTTCCAAGCATGGATCACTTTGTGAACAGCTAATAAATAAACGATTCACAAAAGACATGGAGAAAAAGCGCGTATAAGCTATCGTAAGAGAGCACATGAGAAGAAACAAAATGATCAAACACACCAAACTCGATAGTCCCGAGCAGCAAGCTAGGCGACGGCGGTGGCGGGTGGCTGGAACAGCTCTTCGCTATCTTCCAGGCGCCTTTTAAAAAGGCGCCAGGACACGTCACTGTCTTCTGAGCTTGTCATCGGTGGTCTCTTTCGGCAGTTCTGTGCTGTCTTCTTTTGGCCCTCTTCTCTTCCCTTCTTCTTCTCGTCTTCTCCGGTGAAGAGTGTGGGTGCGGCGTCATGTGTGCCCGCCCAGTGCACTTGGTGCCGGGACCGTACCGTGCGCCGCGCACCCGGTTCATCAGAGGCCGTTATGTCAAGCCTAGCTGCGTTTGTTACATGCTTAACACTTGAAACCGCGACAATTATCATCAAATGCCTTCATTACACCGGCCAGTCTCTGTGTGGACGCATGTTTTATTTACACGATAGTCGTATGTTTCGCAATCATAACTAAATTAATTCTTGTTATGGCAATTTATGGCCATGGTGGTAATTGCGAGCGAAAAGCGACAAAAAAGGTCATACCTGGGTTTGGATCATCCCAACCAACGATGTCGCGCCACACCACGTGACAGTACCACGTCACTGAGCCACGCCCACAGTGGCGCACTGTACGGTTGATTGTAACGCGTAGAGGGGAGGTAACACGGTCAAACTAGTTCGAATACCAACGGGCGATTTTACGCGCGCTCATGGGCTAAAGGGCGCGAATACAGACTATGTCGGCTGTACAGGGCACGTTGCGTCAAGTCGACATAAATTAAAACGCGTCTTAAAGTAATCAGGCACATTACGATAGGCGCCTTAAAACCCGGTCCTTGTTGGCTAACGGCGATAAGTTCAGCAGGATTTCTAGCGTCGCAGCCATGATTAACATGGTTGCTGGCCATCGCTGGCGTTCAACACATTTTAACATGCAGCGCAATATTGCCGTTATGCCCTGTATGCCCTAACGATTTTCCCTTGTTCATGTGGATATGGGTTCTTTTTATACTAAATTGATGAACAGTTTGGTGTCCTCCCCGTTATCTCTGCTTGCAGACGTGATCAGTCCAATGTCATGCAGCCTCTCGTGCACGCTCGATTCAAATCAGTCCGTCAGTCACATTGTGCTGAAACAGCCTAGGTTTTTCCTTCTTATTTTCTCCTGCTCCGTTGCATTCAAAAACTTAAAACCGCCGAGTACGGTGGCGGCACCCAACGCGCCACCCGCACCTAGCACGGACCAGTAGACGCTGTGGGCGGCGATGGTGGCGGTAAAGGCGGTGATGGTGGCGGCGCTGGAGCTGGCGGCGACGTTGGAGCTGGCGGCGGCACTGCCATCTCCACCAAGGCAGGCATCGGCTCTGAAACATAACGGCACATATTGCGTTGCATCTTTGCGTGATATGAACGCAGCTCACGACAGAAGGACACGCAACTGAGCTGCGCAGCCCATGAAGCACGACGATGTCACTAACACTACTGTCACTAACATCACTAACATACAGGGGATCAAACAAGAAGCAATTGCCGATCATTTTTATGATACAGTGGACATCTAACTGGGAATTAAAGTACGCGAAAAATACGTGTACATGCAAATGAGTTCAATTTAACAGGCATCACGCATAACACATCATTTACTTCCGCAGGCGCTTCCAAGTACACAGGCGTCTCGCATCACACATCACGTTTACCTGCAAACGACTTCAATTAAACAGACATCGTGTATCAAGCGTCCCGCCAAGCGATACATGAAAGTGAACTTAAGCCAGGATGCATAACACGTCAAGACACTAGTCACATTCACCTAATCGTTTATGATGAGTCCTGAACTTAAAGACTGGTTGCCAACTTCTCATCAAAAAAGATTCACCATTTTTTCTGTCTGCATGACCTCGTGCTTTGAAGATAACTTTGAGCTCGAAAAGAGTTAAAGAGTCCGTATTTCCCTGGATTTTAGCCCCAGCGTGTTCTCTCAAAGATGGTCGCGCGAAAAGGTTCGTTTTGATTCTGTTTCGTTTTGAGCATCTCGCAAGTGCTCATTGCAACTGAAACGAAAAGGGCGCATGGACTCCCCGACATAGACTATGTACCTCCCATGTTTACACAGTTTCGCACAGTTTACACTTGGTTTCGTAAACCACATTTCTTCGCGTGCAAACCACCTAAAACCCAGGCATGCATATATGACACATATCGCACCCCGGGCACTTAGGCTTCGAGATAAGATATTAAACTAGAGAGTTATTTAGCTTCTTGTCGTTCTAAGCTGTGCGTGCGCGCAGTTTCGCTTTTCTAAAGATATCTTGGATTTTTCAAAGCAAGTGTTCACCGATGTCAGGTAGTGTTAAGCCAATTCATTTACCCAATTCAGCCTTAACAGTGGAGCATACAGAAAAGGGGTCCACATTTGGATACGCCAGTGACGGTAGAAAAGAGGAACAATAGCACAACGTTAGAAACGGATCTGTGATCAAGCCCACCAACTCTAGTGTAATTCTGTACAGCGAATCTGCGCATGGAACCTCTACTTAGCACAATATAATTCGAACTGTGCTTCACAGGGTTCCAAACAACTTATCAAGCAGTAAAAAGACGCAAGGAACATGAGCAAAACATAAACTTTAATGATGCACAATGGATATTCTCCACGACCTTAAGGCTAAATGTTAGAAGAGGTCAAAACATCCAGAACACGTAGGAATACATTTGGTAGGAAGCGGAAACACGCCCTGTCAACCGACAGGTTCTTAACGCTACCTTACATAGTTGAGGACTCGCTTTTGAAAATCAAACATATCGTTAGAAAATTCAAAAACTGCGTGTGCGCATAGCTTG